CATTCGCCGTTCGTTCGTTCAGAAATGACTCGTCGATCGACGTCCATCGACGAGTCATTTCTGACTGGGATGTCGCCTTGTTAAGCGATAAATGCGACATATTCGACAATTTCTTGTGCGCCGGCTTCCGACATCGACTTGCGTCTTACTACGGAATCGCAAACGCTTGCGACAAACTTTCCGCTCAGGCTCTAAAGCCGGGTGTACATCTACGAACGAACGGCGAATGCGAACGCTCGGGGATTCGCGTTCGTGTTCAGTCAGAAATGACTCGTCGATCGACGTCGAAACGGTGTCGAATCGACGTCGATCGACGAGTCATTTCTGACTGGGATACGTCTACAATTTCTGCGCTCGACTCCCGACGTCGACTTGCGTCTTGCCACACGGAATCGTCAACTCCCGCGGCAATCTTTCTGCCCAGGCCCTCAAGCGTTCGCGGATCGTTCTCTGCCATCAGCCAAACGGAGACACGACGCGCTTCTCCGCGCATTAACGCGGCGCGTAGGTGTCCAACGTGACGCGAGGCGAATCGCGCGATAAATACCTCACTCGCTTTCCCCGCGACGAACGCCTGTTCTCCGAGCAGCGAGTGGAACGCTCGCAGGCGATTGCCTTCTCGTATTAAGACGCGAACGGCCGAATGTAACGGAACGATAAGCGCGAAGAGACGGAGACGCGGTCGTCGCCTTGTCGCTCGCTCGCGCCGTCGACCGCGATCGGGTTATGCGACGCGGCGCGACACGCGGGGCGACGAGATCTCGCGGCTCCGCGAGCAAATCTGCGCCGCGCGAGTTCCGCGTACTCTCAAGATCTGCGTAGACAGATAGGCGCGAGTGAACGGCGATTATGCCTACCGATTGAACGCGTTCAACGCCGCTCGGCTCGTGGATCGATCCGTCCAGCGTCGGTTGCCGTCCCGCCAATATGGCGGAGCTTCGAAAGCGGCGGCAACTTCAGAGCGGTACGACGCGAGTCAAGACGGCGCCCCCCCCCCCCCGAGCAACGACGCGAGTCAAACTGGTGTCGGGGGACGAGATTCAATTTAAATATCTATAATCGCTCTCGTATAATACGAAACAAAGCCCGAATTAAGTTATTTGTTAATTCAATTGTAACAGACGCTCTTGGTATTATAATCGAACGATCCGCGGGACAAATTGATCCAATTGATTTTAACGTATCAATCCCGCGTATGTTAGTTTAATTGTAACAAGCGATTTTAATGTTTTATTCTATGATTATTTATTCAGTTTTATTCAATTGAATGAATGCACGCATCTCTCGGGTGCGCGATATTAAAACGTCTCTACCGTCCAATATCACGCACACACGTTGCGCGTCGATGTGTGCGCGTGTACGCTTGCAGCCATGTCAACACGCTGTCAACACAAACAGCAACAAACAGCCAGTCGTTGAATGAGTAAATTGAATGAAAGTAACCTAGTCGGGATCGAATTTTCCACGCCCGAGCTGCCTTTAGCACATACCGATAGGTTTCCTAGGGAAAAAAAGGAATGCTCGAGACGAAGATGCTCGATTCGGAGTACAACGCGCTGAAACGCGGGTGAGTGCGAGGTTAGGGAGTCCCGGCTGCTCTCGCTGTCAGCATAATAAAAGATACCCGCCCTACGTTTCAGGGAGCCCCACGTTACCCTTCAGGAATACAACGCCGTTGTTGCGGAGCTCAACCGGGAGCTGGAAATGTGCAAAGTATGCGTCACTCACTCACCGCCAGTCCGTTCGATATTAATTCTATTTAAGAGGATCTTAAAGTCTTTCTTGTTCACCGACACCTTCGAACACAGTTTTTACGCTTGTAAATCGTTTTATTGGCTTTCGTGCACAAAATAATACACAAACCACGGTGTTTCCGTAGTCGATTCTTGTCTCAAAATCATCTCAGGGTTGGGAAGTAACTTGTAACAGTTACAGTTAGTTACTTTTTTTTTGGTAATTCTAACTTAACTTTGTTACTTTCTCTCCATCTGTAACTGTAACTTAACTCAGTTACATTTTTTCGATAACCAGTAACTAATTTAATATAGTTACAATAATAGTTACTTTATATGTATATTTTTTAAACCTCCACAGGTCGCATTAGGCCTTGCCTTTGCGCACAAACGCCTTTGTCGACACTTTACAATTCAATTGCAGATTTGATATTTGTATTTTCATTGCAAGAAACTGCAATGTAACGATTCGTTACTTTACTCTGTTGACATTCGAAAAAGATTTATAGTAGCGCCAGTCGAATGTCCCACGAACATGAGATAAATATGTAAGAATGACCTATGGAATATTCCAAATAGTCTTAAAGAATATTCTTAAAGTGTTCATAGGAGTGTCTTGTGCTATCTGGGTTAACTGTAAGCTCAGTTTAATCCGTTCTTTGCCTCTTTCCAACTGTTACTTTGGAAAGAGGCAAATATGAATGAAACCAAGATTAAAGTTAAGCGACGTTTGGTGAAGCCAGGCCTTGGACTTCTGAACTGAATGTTTTAAGTATGAAAATGTCACGCTATGCGCAACTTATCCTGGTATTTTGTGCATGAAAGCCAATAAAAAGATTTACAAGCGTAAAAACTATATGTGCCGGTAAAAAAGACGACTCTGGGATCCTTTTAAATGGCGTATACCGCGGTAATTTCATACGCGACACGATTATCTCTCGCAGGCGGAACAAACCGGCATTCGTTCCGAGTTACAAGCCCTGCACGTTGAGAGTAAGAGCGGCAGCGACGCTATACGCGACTACATTTCGCGCGTCCACTCGGAAGAATGCGGCGGCGAGGATGCGCACGATAAGATGATGAGGAACCTGAAGGAGCACATCGCGGTCCTGCAGATGGAGAAGGACTCCGCGGTCCAGCTGTGGCAGGTGTCGATGAAAGCCGTGGACGCCCTGGAGCAGGAGTTGAGGGCCCGCGCGGTGGACAACAGGGACGCCAGGTTTTACGAGGAGCGGCTGAAAGACGTCAGGCAATCGTACTCGGAAGCGATAAAGGCTCTGGAGAGCAAGTTGCTTCAGGCTAAGGAAAACTTCGCCACGCAGCAGTCCCTGTGGATGTCGAGCAAGGAGACGATGGAGGCTCTGAAGCGAGAGAAGCGAGAAGCGGCGACGAGACTTGAGGAGCTTCAACGAGACGTTGAGCAGAAAGGTCGGTGACAAAATGATGGTGTATTGTTTAACTTGAGAGAGGGAGATAGTATGTCAGTAATTTTATTTAAAAGATAGGAATAGTCAGCGGACGATACAATCGTTGACGGAAGAACTGTCCGCCGCGAAGGCGGAGATACAGAGGATAAGTCACTTGAAGTCGGACTTGGAGAGGAGACTGAACGAGAGTAGAAGAGCGGCCGGCAATATCGTGGCGCAGAACGAGGAGACCAAGTGCAAGATGGCCGAGGCCCTCGATCTGATAGAATCCGCGGTGAGAGAGAGGGACCACGTGCTTCAAAGGGAGGCGCAAGTCGCGGAGCAAAACGCCAGGCTGGAGGCTCGACTGGCTTCCGTTGCCGAGGAACACGCCGTCAAGATGCGAGAGGAGATTGCCAGGCTGAAGGACGCTCACGAGCACGGTGTGAAGAAGTACTTGTCGGAGATCAAAGAGCTCAAGTCGGAATTGCGGGAGAAGGTGACGCTGCTGGACCGATTGCAGCGAGAGAGCAGACTGGCGGAGGAGGAGCTGGAGAAGATGCGCCGGGACTCCGAGGATTTGCTGGAAGAGTCGGCCGCGAAGATTCTCACCTTCGAACAGGCGTTGAAGCAGACGGACTCCAAGTTGGAGGCCTGCAGCGAGATGTGCAAGAGGCAGTACAATCTGGAGGTGCAACAGCTGCGAGAGAGGATTGTCGGCCTGGAGGAAAAGCTGGTAGCTTCGAACGAGAGGCTGAAGCAGATTCAGCAGCAGAGCTCCGTGGACGTGCGAGACCGCATCAAATGGGCCGACGAAAAGACCAAGGACGCGATCGATCGTTACGTTAATCTGGAGGGCCAGCTGGTCAGGGCTACGGGCGACAAGGAGTCTCTGGCGACGGAGTTGAAATCGCTGCAGTCGGCCTTCGATCGCGAGATACACAAGAGGGATTACGAGCGTGGCGCGTTGGAGACCAAGATCCGCGAATTAGAGACGAATCTTCCGAGGGAGAATTACGCCGCGGAGGGTAAATCGGGCAGCGATGTTCCTCCGATACAGGTTTCCTCGCGACATCGGGCGGAGACAAGCAAACACACCCTGGATATACGGTAAATAATTTTATTATACAACACACTTTACTACATGCGCGATATTATACTTACGTAAAATAAATAACTCTCTCGCTTTGGATGTGCTTAAAAGTTCGATGTGTTTTCCAGCGTGGAAAACATGGACCACAATTGGCAGTCTCTGTTAACCGAGCAATTGAGTAAGCAGCAAGAACACTTTGACAAGAAAATGAGGGAGATGACGCAGCATGTGACGGTTCATCAGAAATTAAGCAGAAGGTGAGAGAAGGACTTATTATTTTTTATCTATCGCCGTGTAAAATCTGGCTGGGCGATCAAGTTTTGTTTCACCTCAAGGTGGAGGGACGAGGCGAAGTCTTTGACGGCGCGGTTTCAAGTCAAGTCCAAGGAATTACGCGGCAGAGTTAAATCGTTACGGAAAGAGAATGTCGAGCTGCACAAAGCACTCCTGCTTTGCAAACAGCAATTCACTCAATTTGGAACAGACACCGTCCAACGCAGGTTTGTACCGTGAAATACGAAAGTGGCATTTTCCTCTTCATTCGCGTCCGCTCTCGTGATTGCAGTTGCGCACAGGGATCCGAGGCCAGGTGACGGTGTCCCGTACCGCAGGCAGGACGTTCGCGACGCATCCCGGGCGCTGTAAATATTACAGAGCGACTGGCTTGGTTCACCAAGGAGAAGACACGGGTCTTAAGAAGCAACGTCAATTCTTTCTCACAAATTGTCCCCCACCTACCTGACAGCAATGTTAACGCCAGTTTCATTCTTTGGAAACGATGCAAGCCGCGAATAAACTAGGAAACCAGTACAACGTCTCGTCCTCGGCCTGCTTGTCCAACCAGGCGAGCCCCTCCTTCATCATGTGGTCCAGAGCCTTCTGCGCCCTGTCCTCCTCCCACCTCAGCTCCTTGCACAGAATGGACCTGGAGACGTAGGCGTTGGCGGACAGGCTGGCCTGGCGCAGCACCGCCGTGTGGTCCATGCTGAGCTCGCCCGGCACCGACTGCACCAGGTGCCTGCCCCTGCCGATGGGGACGACGGAGAAGCCGTTGCCGAATATCCTCAGCTTCTTGGCGGCGGCCAGCAGGTCCTCGTTGGTGATCTCCTGGTGCTCCTTCCTGCGCCCCCTCGCCTGAACCAGACGCGTCCTCAGCTCGTCGAGCGATATCAGGCCGCCGTTCTTGTAGTTGGTCGCCATGCAGACCTCGACGATCTGGACGGCGAGCTCGTAGTAGAAGTCGCCGATGCCCAGCACCGACCAGAAACCCTTGCCGGACGCGAGCGGGTCGACGCCGATCGAGGCGCACATCTCCGTGAACTGGCGGCGGAAGCGAGCGTTCTTCTTGATCTCGCTCTTGTGCTTGGACGCGAACTCCTCGAGATTCACGCGGAACGTCTCCATGTGCTTGCTCATCTGCTCGAACTGGTTCTCCTGGATCTCCGTGCCCTTGTCCCGGTACTTCTCCTGCTCCAGCTTCTGCTTGTGTATCGCGCCCACTCCCGCCTTCCGCCTCATCCTCTCCGCCGATGCTTCTCCGGGTCTCCAACTCGGCTCCTCAACACCGACCTCGTCAACGTTCCGCTACTGACAGCTAGAACGGCCCGACGGCCTGACTAGACCAGGGGGGGAGGAGGGGAGACACTTGCGTCAAGGCCTGCGTCCACGATGCCCGGAGCTCGGAACGCGGACCTTTAAACTAACCTAACCTAACCCAACGTCGGTAGTCCTCGATGACTCGATACCTCGTTGGTGGGGGATCAGGAGGATGAGTCTAGATGGCGGCTCCCCGACGGGCGAGACGCAACGGGGAAGAGGCGTCTCCTGCAATCTCGCTTCGTTCTGCGAAGGAGGGGGGGAAGCGGCCCATATACATAACCAACAACAATGTCGTCGGTCGTGTCCGAGGGAGACGCGAGAGCCGAGTGAGGATCGCGTGCAGCGGCGATGTCGAGGTAGTCGCCGTCGATTTCTCTCGACCCCTTCTCTCTCTCTTTCTCTTCCACGCTCGAGGAAGCGAGCGCGCGCGCGCGCGCGGCCGTCCGTCCACCGTGTGCGTGCGTGCGAGCGAGCGATATTCCGCCCGCCGTCGAGGTGAACGTCGTCGCGGCAAGTCAGCTGGGCGGCCCAGCGTCGCGCGGATGCGCCCCTGTTGAGACTCGCGAGCGCCGACGACCCGCCGCGACGGACCACCGCCTCCCGGTGCCGGACAGCGGCCCAGCGCCGCGGACATGGAGGACTACAAGTTTCTCTTCAAGGTCGTGCTCGTGGGCAACGCCGGCGTGGGCAAGACCTGCCTGGTGCGGCGGTTCACACAGGTGCGTCACTCGGCGGCCGTCCTCTCCCCCTTCCTCCCCGCGGCGTTGGGCGAGGGAGTCCCGCGGGACCCCCCTGCCCTCCGCCGCGCGAACGCGCGTTTCCCGGAGGGCCGGGAGCTATTTACGCATCCTGGAGATGACGTCAGGCTGCGTACGCGGAGCGTCGAGGATCCGCTGTCGTGTACCATTTGACGTCGCGTTGCAGCTTTGCTGGATGCCGTCCCCCCTGTTTCTCTCCGGAACTTTCTAAAATGTACAGCGAACGCGGCGGCTTGCACTAGTGCGCGCCGAGGCTCGCTTGCTGTCAATTTTTCTATGTCTACGGGTGGTCTGAAATATTTGGACCGTAAATGCAAGAGCGGGCTCCGAACGCTATTACTCCCTTGTCGGGAGAGGCCGCGTTTTCCATACGACTCTATGAGTCACCTCTTGTAATAGAACATATTACTAAGCGCTATTTTTGTAACTAGGTAACAGCTCCCTTCGATGACGCGTATGCTAGTTGATCGTAAGCTGAAGAATACGTTGGTTGAACGAACACATAATTCGGCGGACGATCGACGTTGCGCTGGCGCGTTGGTAATTTCAGTGACTATTTTGGAATTTGCAGGGCCTGTTTCCACCTGGACAAGGTGCGACGATCGGAGTTGACTTTATGATTAAAACTGTCGAGGTGGAAAACGAAAAAGTCAAGGTATACAATACGTGCGATACGCGCGCGCCGTGTTTCACAATCTGACGTTGTCCCTCTTGTTTCAGTTGCAAATCTGGGATACTGCAGGTCAGGAAAGATTTCGCTCCATCACTCAAAGCTATTATAGATCAGCGCACGCATTGATATTAGTCTATGATATTTCTTGTCAACCCACGTTCGATTGTTTGCCAGATTGGTTGAGGGAAATCGAGGAGTATGCGAGTAACAAAGTTCTTAGGATATTAGTAGGTAAATAACGAAACGCAGAGATCGCCGGCTCGTCACCTCGCGGATCAATTCTGTATGTTCTGTATTGTCCCGCCAGGGAATAAAATTGATCGGGAGGACAGAGAGATACCGACGCACGTGGGGGAGGACTTTGCGCAGAGGCATGGCATGTACTTCTTAGAAACGTCCGCCAAAGAGGCGGAGAACGTAGAGAGATTATTTATGGAGATAGCAGCTGAACTTATGGAGGTAAGCGAGCGTGCACCTGTTTATTTGAGATCATTTCGTTTAGAACAGTTTTTGCAGCGCTCGTATGTTATTTTAGCAAGCACGCAGTAAGGAATTACCTCGGTATGAAACGAATACAACTTCAATAAACGGTAAAACGACGTCAATCGGTGATAGTAGCAATTGCGGTTGTAGCAGACTCTCTTAAGTAATTTTTGTATGTTGTACCTTTTTTTATAGACACGGTGATTGAAAATTGAGCGTATCAATATTTGATAATTTAGGGAAACGTATAATACATGTATATCTTTGATACACAGTGTTATTGTTTAGTGTTATGATATTATATGCTACGTTGCTTTATACTGTGTTGTAAGACTTAAAACATATTTAAAACGTGAATTTAAATATGTCAAGCGCTCTAGCTTATAGGACATAAAATTTTTATATAGATATATAGCGCAATTTTATGCTCTATTATTCGCATTTTAATTTAATTGACGTAACATTGCTTCATCTTAAATTGTTTAAGCATTTATTTCCATTTGTACAATGGAAGTTTTATTTAATATAATTGTAGTATTTTTTTTCTCTGTTACTTCGAAAGTACAAATAGTTATTATCACAAATGGATTTTGGCGACTCGTCCAAAGTCTTATTAGTAATAACAAGATTTTTACAACACGCCTACGATGTATAAAGTTATTTCTAACGTGCAATATTTACATGTGTTTATCACGCTATTTTGAAGACGGCAGCTCACAGTATTCTCATAACAGCATGTTAAAATTAAAGCATCAATGACATTGTAACTCTGTATACAATAATCAACGAGAATAATTTTTTACGTTAACGGATTATTTATTATGTAATAATCTAGAAAAGTGATAACAAGATATCTATGACATTATTATAAAGTATCTAGTAGCATTTATACGATCAGATCTGTTATATTTACTTCATATTTATAATTTATAAATTTTAAACGATGATGGTTGAGTATTAATTATTCTGTATACATCTTGTATAATGTTAAAATGTCTTTCTAGTCTTTTTCACACTTTTTTAATACTTTATATACACCAATATACATAACGTTACAAATAATATGTATTTTGTTATAAATTTCTTGTTGGCTGAAACTTTCTGATTTTTTTGAAAATAATCCGTAGCTTATTAGTATTGGTTGTCGTTATAGATTGTTTCTCTTATAGTATGTGAGTTATATGATTTCACTGAATCAAACGTTCGCCTTTCTCACAGCAAAAGAACGATTAATTTAGAGCTCGGAATTGTTGCATATCTAATTTGTTTATTCATCTATTAATACTCAATTAAATTTGCATAAATTCTGCAATTCTTAGACAAATGCATTACAATGTATATGTTAAGCGTTAATATAAAAGTTGATATATTTTACTTTATCGATACCTGCAGTTAAGATCTTTTAGCACAGATAAGTTTATTGCAAACTATTCAGTTTGAAATTACTCCAAAGGTTTTATGTTACGAAAACGTTTTGTTATAATTATATAATGTAAGTTATTAACAGTGCATAATATAAATCGCAACTTATAATAAAAACTATATTGGTCAAAAACATATATATCAATTTTTTTTGTATAAAATTAACATTGCATTAGTGTAATCATAGAAAATCATAGGTAGATTAGAATGTAACAATGCACGCGCTATGCACGTGTCATTTGTCCCCGGTTTATAATAGATTTTGTCAAGATTTAAACATAATATAATTAATACAAATTCATATCGTATCACAATATGAAAAATCAATCAAAATTTATCACTTAAGTTACACACAAGATTTATATTAAATATATTTTCATTAAAGACTTTTGCACAAATTTTTCAATACTTACGAGTTTCCGTATTTTTGTACAATGTTATCTTAATAGAAATATGTGCACCAAATATAATCGTACTGCTACTTGTTCCAAATTACGTATATCAAACATATATATATTTTTTTTAATGCAACAGCACGTGTCAATAATGTATTTGTTACAGTACAAATTCTAAGTGCTCTTTTAAATTGTTTTTTTAAGGAGATTAAATTATTTTAAATAGTTTAGTTTAGAAGTTTCATTATAGTGCATTTTTCCGTCAAATAATGATCTTCAGTAGCATTTATATACTTGATAAGAGTACAATTGTTACAATTTTCTTACAAATTACAAGTATTAGACATAAAGTGTTTTTTTCTTATTAATAAAACAACACATAAAATGATCATGTTCTTGTTGCAGTTTGTATTTCCCTTAAAGTGTTTTTCACAAATTGTATTTTAAAAGAACTTAAAATAGTGACGTATAATGTTGCCATGTACATTTCATTTCAATGCATTGTGATTAATTATTGTATCTCTCATTTTTTTACGTCAGTATCATTCGTCTTCGCTCAATCGGATACTTAACTTTAACTTGTCTTACTTTAACATTTTGTTTAATCTCTAACCATCTTTTAAGTATATTTTTTGGCAAACTGTCAAAATTTAGTCGTCTCGTCACTGACAGCTCGTAGCTCATAGTGAGCCAAGCGAGACATCATCGCGGAAAAGAGGCAACAATACTTTGAGACTTTCGAGTATCGACTTAACACGCCTTTTTTATTAATATACATCTTTATGAGAAGATAATATAGAAATTAATTAATATTTAATATATAAAGTTGTTATATGTGTGCACTAAATGCAGAGTAATATATCATGCCACACATGATCTCGTGTGATATAAATTAGAATCAAGAAAAGCAAGAAGTCTTATTTTATTGGTAACACACGTGTACGCGCCATTTATTCTTAAGTATTATGTTTTTATCTGAAATAATTGTTGGTATACAACCTGTCGTGTAACATTATTCAGGATAATCACGCCTGATCATCTTGTACAGTCATCGTTTCAAAGGTTTTCCGACTTTTTGTGCTAACAATAAATATGCGTCCAAGAAGCAATTGGCTGTAACTTCTCGCAGTCGGGACACCAGTCTGGCCGTGACTGTGCACGTGTGCGTCTTGATTACCGAGATTACTCCAGTAATTTGCATATTCTAAATGATTGTCCGCTTTTTAGCGCGTTATATATAGATTTTACGTCGGGGTTTCAACGGTCAGAAATTGAAGTTGAATATGAGAGAATTTAATGTCTCGTCATATCTTACTTATAGAGAACTTAAGTCTTTGAAACTTGGCTCTTTTTACGGACCACTTTAGATACATAAGATAAAATACTCCTGCATAAACTAAAACACCCGCTAAACTATACTCGTTATTTATAGCGCGAAATAAAGAGAATCGGCATTGTTGTTTGTAAAGGAAGAACAGTGATAAACTGCATACATTTTTTTTTAAAGAATAGCTTTCATATTTATTCGTGTAAAATACAGCCCAGCAACAACATCTATAAATACTATCTTTTACATCATAAAGTAACTAAAAACAGGGACCTAGGATATTTACATATTTGACATTACACAAAAGGCCCGTTTTATCATGTATATACATTTGTATTATTCCAGTAAAGAACGAGCTAGCTAAAAAGATTTTCCTCTTTTGATCTTGCCACGGTTTATCTGTCATCTCCGTCGATTGTTATGCGTATTTTATGACACGTTGTGTACAGTCGGGAGCACTGAGGTTGCGACACTTTTTTTTTTATAAGTTTACGAACGCGCAAAATAATTCAGGATCCTGAATTTTTTAGAATAGACGTATTGCACGTGTTTTTGAATCGTGAACAAGTATGCCAAGTTTTAATACAAGCTTGTTGAAATGTGTATGCGCGATACATTCAACGACAAATGTGTAATTTATCAAAATATAGAATAAGCAAATACTATGTAATTTCGTTATAAATATTGGAAAAAGTCTTTTAAATGTACCTGTTTTAGAGATAAATCAAACAATCGTTCTTGCACCTCCTCCTTGAGTGCTAACGAAGGCGTAGCAATCTCTTTACAATTGCTGATATATAAACCACCTTTTCTTTCAATATCTTCGCTCACTGCGGCATATATTATCGGAGTTGCTCCTCGATCAGGTGTCTGCAACAGAAGTGTGATTGTAGCAAAAGATTGATTGATTGGTAGCAGCTTGGAAGAAGTGGAAACATCTCATGTTATACCTTCCATGCAGCCATAAGCCACTTGTTATTGCCGATTAAGGTGTCCTTAAATATGTCTGTGATCACTATACCAGGATGTACGGCATATACTAATACATTCAATGATTTTTCTTGTAAGAGTCTCTGCAACGTTATCGTGAATATTGTCTGCGCTAATTTACTTTGTCCATACGACGCATACGTGTAGGATGTTTCTCTGCAAACCATAAAATAGTTATTTAAACGCCAAGGAAAGCACATCGTGTATTAACATATAATCGTAAATTGCTAATTGAAAATAAAAGAAGAAAGCGATTTAGCGATATTTGTTCATTACTTGGAACCGTTTTCCAAGTCTTCGAAATTTATGGTGCTAATATCTTGAGCGCACGAAGTGACGTTAACAATCCTGCTGCACTCGCCGGGACGCCCGCCGCTTTTCAATAACGGCAGGAGAAGAGACGTTAGTAAAAAATGTGACAAGTAATTCACCACCCATTGCTCTTCATATCCGTCTTCCGTCTTGTTATAGGCGAGAGGAAACATAATAGCAGCTGAAAGGAAGCCAAGACATGTTTACATTTTCTTACGCAGGTATCGGCGTATAATAATTCCATGCATCGGAATGAAGTTGTGGTGGCCAATCGCTTACCGTTGTTGATTAATATGTGAATTCTGTCGTAGTCTGTTTTTATTTGCTCGGCGAATTTTCTGACCGATTCGAGAGAGGAATTGTCCAGCTTATAAACCTTTGCCAGGCCGCTGGCGACACCAGACTCTCTAATCTTGAGGATGAGCTTTTCACCGGCGCTAGTTGTCCTACAAGCTAATCATATTTCCGTGTAACAACGTGTCGTAGCGAATATTAAATTGCAATTACAATAACGCAGTAAATAATTCACCGATTATAACTTCCATGTCGCACTGTAACAATTTCTTGACTACTTCCGCTCCTATACCTCTCGAACCACCGGTTACAATTGCAACTTTACCCGGCTTTGAAGGTAAATCTGAACAAAAACGACACGGAATATAAACGAAATGTCCATATATTATATAATAGCAGAGATTTTACTTCATTCCATCGCGTCCTTTAATTTTGAGAAAGCGTGTCACAAACGCAGAACATGCTACCTTGTCCAATCAGGTTTTAATTTTACTTCGATATTGCAAGGTAACGAAGAATTTCGTATGTCGACATAATTTCGAGCAATGAAAGGCATCGCAATTGCAACTAAGATACAATTTCTTTCAGTTGTAATAATTTCGCAATGTTACTTTGACAGCAATATATGCCTCAAGAATTTATTGCGACATTGTAATGTAATTTCGCATTTATGCATTGGATTTCCAGCTTCCATCGCAATACCCGTTAAAAAATTTTCTCGGATATATAAATAAAATTTGTTAAAAAGGCTACAGTTTTACTGTTGATCGATGTATCTGTGCGCAAGGAATATCTCAAATGACGCAACATGCAGATATGTGTAAAAATTCGTAAAACGTTTGTCCGTGTTTCTCTTTCTGTCTTACCTATCTTATTACGCCTGATGTTGAATATATCGTGAAAATGATACACTGTTCCAATGTAATAATACTTTATGTGGCTCCAGCAGGTTGAGTAGACCATGGTGGAGTAGACAATGGCGCCTACTATGATAGAGGCACAGGCTAGTGCCGCTTCGAGTAACATTTTCACTTAAAAAGTCGTCGGCCAACAATCACAGTCACAGATTCAATAGGTATACTTGTCGCAAATGTCCAGGATCGAAACGGCTACAAGCTCAAGTTGCTACGACTGCGAGAAACGCCTCGCCGTGCAAACCGATCACCGTTAGGCACCGCTCTAACTCGCCCCACATCCGTACTTTCCAGCTGCATCAACCGTTGTGCGTGCAATCGTTCGCGCATACGGTATATATATGGGGAGCCTTTTAAGAAATGGTACTTGATCCGCTCCCCTCTCTCAGATTCGTATTCATCATGTAGGAGACCTTCGGCCTTCGTCCGCGATGGGTGTAACAGCTCAGACAATGTATGGCCAAACTGTTACTTTAGAAAGAGACAAACGTAAATTAAACTGAGATTCAAGATAAGCAACGTTTAGCAAAACCGAGCCCCAAGTTCTACAGATCCCAGGACATCCCGGGACATATTCAGGATAATCCTGAGGACATCCTGTGCTATCTGGGAAGTCTTTGAAACTTGGCTCTTTTTACGGACCACTTTAGACACATAAGATAAAATATTCCAGCATAAACTAAAACACCCGCTAAGCTATACTCGTTATTTATAGCGCGAAATAAAGAGAATCGGCATTGTTGTTTGTAAAGGAAGAACAGTGATAAACTTTATACATTTTTTTTTTAAAGAATAGTTTTCATATTTATTCGTGTAAAATACAGCCCAGCAGCAACATCTATAAATACTATCTTTTACGTCATAAAGTAACTAAAAACAGGGATCTAGGATATTTACATATTTGACATTACACAAAAGGCCCGTTTTATCATGTATATACATTTGTATTATTCCAGTAAAGAACGAGCTAGCTAAAAAGATTTTCCTCTTTTGATCTTGCCACGGTTTATCTGTCATCTCCGGCGATTGTTATGCGTATTTTATGACACGTTGTGTACGTAGTTTCGGTTATATTTTCTTTTCTCGCGGTTAGGATTAGAATAGGCGAATTGCACGAGTTTTTGAATCGTGAACAAGTATGCCAAGTTTTAATACAAGCTTGTTGAAATGTGTATGCGCGATACATTCAACGACAAATGTATAATTTATCAAAATATAGAATAAGCAAATACTATGTAATTTCGTTATAAATATTGGAAAAAATCTTTTAAATGTATCTGCTTTACAGATAAATCAAACAATCGTTCTTGCACCTCCTCCTTGAGTGCTAACGAAGGCGTAGCAATCTCTTTACAATTGCTGATATATAAACCACCTTTTCTTTCAATATCTTCGCTCACTGCGGCATATATTATCGGAGTTGCTCCTCGATCAGGTGTCTGCAACAGACGTGTGATTGTAGCAAAAGATTGATTGATTGGTAGCAGCTTGGAAGAAGTGGAAACATCTCATGTTATACCTTCCATGCAGCCATAAGCCACTTGTTATTGCCGATTAAGGTGTCCTTGAATAGGTCTGTGCTCACTATACCAGGATGTACGGCATATACTAATACATTCAATGATTTTTCTTGTAAGAGTCTCTGCAACGTTATCGTGGATATTGTCTGCGCTAATTTACTTTGTCCATACGGCGCATGTGTGCAGGATGTTTCTCTGCAAACCATAAAATAGTTATTTAAACACCAAGAAAAGCACGTCGTGTATTAGCATATAATCGTAAGTCGCCAATTGAAAATAAAAGAAGAAAGCGATTTAGCGATATTTGTTCATTACTTGGAACCGTTTTCCAAGTCTTCGAAATTTATGGTGCCAATATCTTGAGCGCACGAAGTGACGTTAACAATCCTGCTGCACTCGCCGGGACGCCCGCCGCTTTTCAATAACGGCAGGAGAAGAGACGTTAGTAAAAAATGTGACAAGTAATTCACTACCCATTGCTCTTCATATCCGTCTTCCGTCTTGTTATAGGCGGCAGGAAACATAATAGCAGCTGAAAGGAAGCCAAGACATGTTTATATTTTCTTACGCAGGTACCGGCGTATAATAATTCCATGCATCGGAATGAAGTTGTGGTGGCCAATCGCTTACCGTTGTTGATTAATATGTGAATTCTGTCGTAGTCTGTTTTTATTTGCTCGGCGAATTTTCTGACCGATTCGAGAGAGGAATTGTCCAGCTTATAAACCTTTGCCAGGCCGCTGGCGACACCAGACTCTCTAATCTTGAGGATGAGCTTTTCACCGGCGCTAGTTGTCCTACAAGCTAATCATATTTCCGTGTAACAACGTGTCGTAGCGAATATTAAATTGCAATTACAATAACGTAGTAAATAATTCACCGATTATAACTTCCATGTCGCACTGTAATAATTTCTTGACTACTTCCGCTCCTATACCTCTCGAACCACCGGTTACAATTGCAACTTTACCCGGCTTTGAAGGTAAATCTGAAAAAAAACGACACGGAATATAAACGAAATGTCCATAAATTATATAATAGTAGAGATTTTACTTCATTCCATCGCGTCCTTTAATTTTTAGAAAGCGTGTCACAAACGCAGAACATGCTACCTTGTCCAATCAGGTTTTAATTTTATTTCGATATTGCAAGGTAACGAAGAATTTCGTATGTCGATATAATTTCGAGCAATGAAAGGCGTCGCAATTGCAACTAAGATACAATTATTTTCAGTTGTAATAATTTCGCAATGTTACTTTGACAGTAATAAATGTCTCAAGAATTTATTGCGACATTGTAATGTAATTTCGCATTTATGCATCGGATTTCCAGCTTCCACCGCAATACCCGTTAAAAAATGTTCTCGGATATATAAATAAAATTGTTATAAAGGCTACAGTTTTAATGTTGGTCGATGTATCTGTGCGCAAGGAATATCTCAAATGACGCAACATACAGATATGTGTAAAAATTCGTAAAACGTTTGTCCGTGTTTCTCTTTCTGTCTTACCCATCTTATTACGCCTGATGTTGAATATATCGTGAAAATGATACACTATTCCAATGTAATAATACTTTATGTGGCAGCTCCAGCAGGTTGAGTAGACAATGGCGCCTACTATGATAGAGGCACAGACCAGTGCCGCTTCGAGTAACATTTTCACTTAAAAAGTCGTCGGCCAACAATCACAGTCACAGATTCAATAGGTATACTTGTCGCGAATGTCCAGGCTCGACACGGCTACAAGCTCAAGTTGCTACGACTGCGAGAAACACCTCGCCGTGCAAACCGATCACCGTTAAGCACCGCTCTAACTCGCCCCACATCCGTACTTTCCAGCCGCATCAACCGTTATGCGTACAATCGTTCGCGCATACGGTATATATATGGGGAGCCTTTTAAGAAATGGTACTTGATCCGCTCCCCTCTCTCAGATTCGTATTCATCATGTAGGATACCTTCGGCCTTCGTCCGCGATGGGTGTGACAGCTCAGACAATGTATGGCCAAAAGAATTTCTGCAAAAATAGAATTCACATTCACCTGCGAGTTTTATCGTCAGCCACCTGTGCTCATCAGATTTCATTCCTCATTACTTCAATATGTTTTTTTTTCTATTAGTTATTGATGTCGCAGCTTACATACTTACACACTTTGTCTTTATTCGAGGCAAGTCCAGAACTGTATGTTTCAATATCCGAGTGAAATACGGCAGGAAACAATATGGATTGTCAGGGGATAATTTCAGCCACTTATTAGGAAGTTGAATAAAAAGCATTCAGCTATCCCTGAAAAAAAGAGAGAGAACGCAAAATGTTACGTTGCATGTGTAAAACGTAGCGATTACGTGGCAACAGTTGTCAAATAATTTGTGCGAATAATTATCGGGAACTAAGTTAATGCATTTATATCGAACGTGTTGAAATTATTTCGTACAATGTCGCAGTAGAATGCAGGAAAGCCAATTTGAAACGCGAAACTTTGCGGAAGGAACGTTGTCGGAATATAATTTATTGTAAGATAAAAAGTAGAATATGTTAGTATTATCGGTTGTTTAATTTATAGCCGTTTTGTAATATCTCGTATCTATCAATAAAAGACATCTTTAAAACAACTTTCAGTCGTCTTTTAGACATACATCTCTCAAAGACTACTTAAACATGCCATAAACATGTCTTTTACAGATACGAGTTGTTTGGGATATGTATATTATAATTTATTCCTTCAAATAAATTGACAATGTTTCACAGAAATATTTTTATCTTCATCTTCATCTTCGTCTGTTAAGTAATATATCATAAATCGCTCAATTGTTACGTCTAAATCAGCCCCTCTCGTTGCCAATGCAATCCACTTGGCAAAAAATTTGGGATAAAACATAATATCACAACAAACCTCAAGACAGAAGTTGCATTTACATAACTGGTTCTAGTTTCGGTTGCGTCAAAATTGCTTGAACATATTTTAAGCCTCGGTAAACGATATGCCTCGGTGGTCGAATTGGTTGAGACGCTCGCCTGGCGTGTGGGAGAGGTTCAGGTTCAGATCCTGGCTGAGATAATATTTTTCGCAATAATTTTTCTGTGTTATAAAACACATCGCCAGTCATGGTCGGTTAACAGTTTAATCACGACATATTTTAAGGCCCGGTTTCGTCGCATAACTTGAAGCTTAGCTAATTAATTCGTTCGTTGTCGCTTTCGAACTGTTACTTTAGAAAGAGACAAAAGTAAATTAAACTGAGATTCAAGATAAGCAACGTTTGGTGAAACCGGGCCCCAAGTTCTACACGACGTATTTTTAAATGGTATATTTCATCAGAACACCGCTCGCCAAATTGTGGCTGTAATTTCACTTGACAATCTCCGTAATAAGGTAGACCGACAATCGTTCTGCGATACTGTACAATTTGTTTATACTTCTCGTGTTAATTGTATGTAAAACATTTACTCCTAGATCTCACTTGAAAAGGACCTAAACCAAAGGTCGAAATACGTTGTGAAAGCGTATTCGATAAATGTGTCCAGCTGAGGTCGATCAAAATTTTCAATTTGTTCATGTACTTTGGTTAATATTCCGTAATGATTAGCAAACGATTTGAAAATGTAGCTCGACAGTGATTTAACGATAGTAAAAAATTAGGTCTTGTGGAATATTTTGCGACAACACTTGTTATCACGCTCATAAATATCAAGTAACACCTCACGTCCCACACGAAAACTATTATATTTCTAAACTATTGTCATTTAGATATCCGTGCTTTAAATTCACGCCACGTCTGCGTTTACAGTGACAATACGCGTAAAAATATAAATGAAGGTGTATCCTTGACAAGTACATTTTTCTTAGGCCTCTCTTTTCTTCTTTGCCGTTTAAAATTTATACTTCCAGTTTGGTAAAGTATTATTGCTATTTGAGACCTTTACTCTTTTTCGACTATTAACACTGTCACTGTTCTGAGAAGGAAGCATTGCGCAGTTTACGTAACTCTTATTCATAGCTTATTCTGCACTTTATTCTTGTTTTTTTTCTGTCTCGTTTACTCATTAATGAATTGCATTTTGATAACGTGATGTAACAACCTATTGATATATCGATGCGAGTGTATTTTGAAACGGGAGGGTCAGTTTGTGTTGAAAGAAAACCCGGAGTTACAAAGAAACGTGCCTTTGACGTCTCCCTTTCTTTCCTCGTCGAGGATTACCGCGCGAAATAAAAATGGTGGAAGGTAAATGTATAAAGCAGTCTTACTTTGAGTGTTACATCGGATGGACGTGCCGTCTAACATAGTTCTTCGTGTGATGCCCAGAGATGGAAGTGAAGCCGTTTCTTTAATTTTGATACCAATGACGTAATATTATTGTTGAATTCCCTGAAGAGAACCACAACCCGTATGGTCGAAACGTCGGATTAACTGAATAAATAAGCCATCTGCCAGCCTCCCAGACAGCACAGATCTCCTGAAGTCGTTTTAAAGACATCCTCTGGACGTCCTTATGTCTTAAGAATGTTCCCAGGACATCCACAGGATATCGTGTGTTGTCTGGGCTAAGTCGTCTAACGATTCTTTTTATCGTAAACGTATCTCTTTGTCGCGTGCATTCGTTCGATAATCTTGCAACAAGATCTCTTTTTTAATCAGCATCCAATTCGACAATCATTCCTTTTCATTTCATTCCTTTGATATCGAGACTTCAATTCGTCTATCTGTCTGGCTCGGTTATCTTATCTCCTTTCCTTTTTAGACGTTCACCTCGCTATTATCCCGCATATATCAGGAGCGTATGGGCGTGTGCAATGCGTTGATTTGCCAAGTTTAAACGACGGAGCGGTTGTCCTTGGGAAGGCAATTTCTCCAGACGCGGAGGTATATTCTCTCATACAAACGACTAGATCGTTTCACTCGCACGCCTCGTTTTTTCCGACTACGTGGTAAAAACAAATACGTCTGCTAATAACAGCTGATGCAACTGGCGCATGAGCAATGCTTGTGGCACAGATTAATAAGTCTACATGTGACAAACTCGGGCGAATTCTCCTCCGTGGTTGGCTGTGTCGGCGACGTTGTGACGTTGGGTTGATGAGAGAGGATGAAACAGTTCACTCGTTACTTTCTACAACAGCTATTTATTGCACGATCCTCGCTGAAAATCAACTCCAACTTCTCCGGTTTCTAATGCATTAGAATTAGAATTAGAAACCGGCGATTATAAAAACAAAGCGGAAAGTTCGCTATTTTATATAAAGAACGAAGAGAAATTAAAAATATCGCTTTATAAGTAATTGTGGTTAGGTTAGGTTAGGTGACAGCTTCACATGCTGATATTTTTAATTTTTCTTCGTTCTTTGTATAAAGTCCTGGACCACCCGCTTTGTTTTTACGCGCACTATAATCGCGTGGGAGAATTTTGCAATTTTATAAAGCCAATTTCACATTGCTCGAGATTAAAAAATTGAAAATTACAAATACCAAAATCTGAGTGTTTTAAGTATGAAAATGTTCTGCTATGCGGTCCGCAACTTATCCTGGCATTATTGTGTGCGTAAAAGCTAATAAAAAAATTTACCGGCGCAAAAACTATTATTCGAACGTGTCGGTAAAACAGACGACTTTAGGTGATTGGTCGAATCTGAAATTTCACAGCATCACATTGAAATGCTGTCCAATGAAATTCCAGATTTGACCAATTACAGCACAAGGTCATTTTAATCTGAACCATTTTGATCTTCTCGCGAAAGCAGCCCTGGTTACGATCAAGGGTGCGGTCAAACAGACTCTACAGAACGCTTCAATCGCTCTTATTCTAATGCTTTCAAAGGGCCGGTCAATGTTCACTATCGAAGTTGCAAAGCTAATTATAGTACACGGTCAAAGTGGCGCTACCAACGCTTCGAAGGTTGGATAAACATATGTTTGTACATACATACGTGTGTAAAAATGAATAGAAAAGAGAAGATAACGTGTGTTAATAATTTTTTGGAGCCATTGTCATATTTAGATGACGAAGATGAGTTTGTAATTAAAGCTATTTCTACAGACGAAAGTGAACCTTATAATAACAAAATTGAAGGTTATGTCGAACACATAATATACCATCGTTTACCAGTGAATTGAGATATTTCCATAAATAAAGTTAGATTAGGCATTTTCTTAACCAATTTTCGATAATTTGCACTACACATTCGCTACACACATTGCTTCACACCAATTCACATGTAACCTAACATGTGCAATTTGCCGCGCTTTTCGAGAATTCAAAAAAACGCTTCAGCCGTACTACCTCTCCGGCTGTAGCATTGGAAGCGAAATAGAGGGGGAAATCTGTGACGTTTCAGTGACGTCATTGGTACTGCTGAAGCGTTTGCAAGTGATACATTGACCGGACTCGAAACACTTCAAAGCATTCGTAGTGGCAGCTTGACCGCACCCCAAATTACACAGTTGAAATATTTTGCCAACAATCCCGCCGGTAGAATCGATCGCCGATAAGGGACGATCAACGTCGAATCGACATCGTTTCTCCCTGGGACGTGCCTTCGATCGGACTTTCAACTCGTCAAATTAACGCTGTTACTTTTTATCGTGCGACATAAGGTGGAAGGATCAATTGGCAACGACGAATCGGACACGCCGAGTCGATCGGCTCGACCGTAATCTCCAAGTCGGCGCGTGTCCCCCCCGAGATGGCGCCACGTCGCGAATCCCGCGCGACATCTGCGTCGCACGGATTGGCCGCGAGGGGGGCTCGCGGAAGTCAAGATTCGTTCGCCAATAGTCCCGGACCCTCGGCTCGCACGGGACACGTAGATGTCCCGAATAGGCGGACCCGCGCGACCGTTTGCCGCTGTCACCGACGTGTAACCTCGCCGCCGGAGTATCCTGTCCTGTACGTCGTCCTGTGCGGAGCGTGCGAGCGCGTAAGTGTTGCGCGCCGACCCGCTGGGCTCGGCCAAGTCTGATTCGAGCCTCGGACACGACGGCGCGGCCCCGGAGTGTCATCGGCGGTACGACGTTGTAATTTGCGGAGCCGAGTCACGCGACGTGCGGCGCGAAAAACTGCTTACGCACGCTCGATTCTGAGGTGCGAGTCCTCGCTCGTTGACGTCTCGCCGTCCACGACGGCCGTGATTTTCTCGGTCGAGGGGAGAGAGAGAGAGAGAGAGAGAGTGAGGGAAAGAGAGAGAGAGAGAGAGACAGAGACGAGTCTTTCCGCAGAAAGTGTGGCCACTTTCACTTTAGAAACGCGCGCGACGCTCGCGGTACGCAACGGCGTGATCATTTTTTTTCTTATCCCGCGCGGTTTCGGCGATGAATATGCATAAATTGACAGGTTTTTTTCTCCTCGTGATATTCGTTTAATGTCGCCGCCGAGGGCGGCCGGGGCAGCGCAAACGAGACCGGGTAAACAAGCTCTGACGTATTCGCGCGCCTTTCCTTCTAGCGTGTTAAACTGCTGCTCCGTTTTTCAGCATTCGGGATGGCAGACACCGCAAGCAGTGGTTCCAGCGACTCGTCGCCGCAGGTCGAGAAGGGATGGCCCGCCTTGAAGCAGCACATTATAGACAATAAGATCAAATTCGGACTGTGGGTCACCAGGCTCTTCACCCTAATATTCACCGTTGGTTACATCATACCTATATTCGGGTACCTTCGTCCACCTTGAATCTCACGTCCTTTGTCACACCTAAAGATGGTCCCGCTTGTGGCTCGTCCGTAGAAGTTTACACGGGCATCTAAAATATGATTTCCGTACGATTACGCAGTGATCTTGGCAGTCCTCTTCTGTAGAAGTGGCACCGGAGTCCACAAACGGTCTAGAATTTTGCCTACTTATCCACTCGCTCGGACGAGCCACAAGCGGGATTATCCTCGGGTGTAGAAAAGACATTGTGGAACTTTACGGCACGACCAACCCCGTGCTTTGCTGGCCTCTCAAAATCTCGCTTCTCTTTCCAGGAATCCGTACAATATATACTATAAGGTATTAATGAATAACGCGGCGACCAGTGCGTTACGTCTGCACCAACGAGTGCCCCGTGTTCAGATCTCGAGACAGTTCTTCGAGACGCTGCTGTTGGAAGACTCGTGCCACTATCTATTCTACTCCTTGATATTTTTGTACGCGGCGCCAGTCACATGTATCCTTTTCCTTTATACGCAGTCTGTTTCGTCTCTCGTAACGCTAGAAGTGCCGAGCAGTGTCATTTCTCACCGTTCCAATTTTTTGTTTAGATTATTTCACGATCGAATGATCGACGAAAAGTCATAAAATTTCAAAATGATCTTTTATACGAGAAATGGGCTATTATTCTGAAAAATAGAAACTGTCAGAAGTAGTGACCGCTCGGTACTTGCAGCATTAGGCTTCTACAATAGACGCAGCAAGTCGCAAGCCGCGAGAAATCGGCCAATGACAGTCGATTGTGCTTCTCACATTTGGCTCTGATTTCTTGCGACTTGCGCCTATTCTAAAATCAGCCGTGAATGCTCCACATTTCAACAAAATTGAATCCTGAACTGATCCATGCGCAGTGGTGCTAACGCCAGTTTTTCTCTTCGCTCTGATGCACCTGGCCAGCTACTCACTTACATTGCTAGACGTGAGTAAACAAATTAGTATCGCTTAGGTATTACGCTATATATATAGTATAATTAATGATACATGCGTGAGAAAATTTTACTATGTAATTATCTGCACAGTCATAAGAATATAAGCTGAACTCTTGCTACGATTTCTGCAGTGTCTAGGACACAACAGCTGGTGGGGCGCTCGTCTGTTAATATCTCTGGTGGAATTCCAATCGCGGAATATCCTTCGCCTGTGCGCTCTGTCGGAAATCATCATCTTGCCGTTCACCGTTCTTCTAGTGTTCACGTACGTGCTATTACACAATCAGGCGTGTCGTAACTCATTTGTCATAACAACATGATTATAATCTAGTAACAACAGCGCGGCAAGATGTTAAATGTCTCGCCTGGTTCTTTTTACAGAGGACGCGCCGGCTTGCTGACACCCTTTATCTATTACCAGTTCTTGAAGCTGCGTCTTGCGTCGCAGAGAAATCCGTTCACGCGCAACGTATTTTACGAGCTTAGAAACGGACTGAGCTCGGTGTCGAAAAAGCCGGCCGTGCCGGACATCGTTCGGAGAATGATCGACGGTCTGCTTTCTCTGACCCAACAAATGGCGCCGGTGCGCCAATAATATCTACGATACCGAATTCTTCAATTCTTTCTTGTATTGTCTCTCGAAGACAAGATCTCCTAGGGTTCTAGGGTCCACTCAGCGACACTTTCATGAATTAGTGTTAGCGCAAAATGAGTGCCGACATAAAAATTCATAGTGAATGTCATGCGAATTATATGATTTGGTATATCTGTGAAAACAATCAAAGCATATATGAACGGTTCTTTACATTAGTAATTACGTTCGTTTCCGACTGAACGTTGAATAAGAATGCGAGGGTTCGTACTAATCATTATCATATAAAATTTAGTTTGCAAAGTTACAATTCGACTAATATTGTCTAAATCCTGTTTTACGTATTAAATTTCGCATTTTTATTAAGAACTACAAGGATAACGGTGCACATATACTAACTTTATGATTTTACATATAATTTTGAGCCATGAATTTGTAACGAGTAGATAATGATGCATAATGGAGTACACTGGTTAATGGAGTTTAATGTTGATTACACGTCAACTCTGGTTGTTTGATTTCGCACGGTTTTGCGGTATTAGGGAATGTGTGTAATATCTAGCATGTAAGTTACAAAATTGTATTTCCGAATTACACGAAATGGTTGATCCGCCATTTGTTTGGGATAAGCTTTGGAATAAGTTTAATTTAATACCCGTCACGTTGCTCTATCAATTGTTAGCCTAGCATAATTTCGTCTATCTTCTACTTGATACTTGGATATTTATGATGTTTGAAATTAATTCAGAATGGTTTTATAAACGAAAATAGTTATCGGTATACTGTAGCAAATTATCTTAAAACATTAATAAATCTTTTTAAATAAAACAATCTTATTATCTACAGATACTTTCCCTAGCCCGAGAGAGAATCGTTTTCCTCTTTGCATTTGGTATTCGCGTTCAGGACACTGACAATAAAATACAATGCAGATCTTATTTTCTGTATTTATTTTTGAAATGCATATAAAACTGCATTTATTTAAATCAATCGTTATACGGCGAGAGGAGCGGGTGGTGGCATGTCTTTTGATGGCTTCACCTCGGAGATTGGAACAGTTGGCGGAACCTCTTCTTTCGGCTCCACGATCGATACGTAGTCAGGAAGAGGCTTCTTCGGGCCGCTCTTGCCGTTGGGATCCCACGGCAGCATAATCTTTACTTTGATTCCCAGTACGCCTGAGACACATTACAATTTAAGTATACACATTTTAACACATAAAATTTTTACCAATACATTGCTACGTTGGTCAAAGCAATTGCCGTGATAATACAGTCGTACCTTGTCGCAGGAGTACATGTCGGGTGGCGGTGTTGACGTACTCGTTGGTCGGCTCACCCGAGTGAATCATGAGACCATCAACGAACTTCATCGATTTCGCTCTTTGACCACGCAACTTGCCGCTGACGACGACCTCGCAGCCCTTGGCGCCAGATTCCATGATGAAACGCAGAACACCATAGCACGCCCTGGTTACAACAAAATAATAAAAATTACAGGACGAAGCTCTGACTAACGAACAGTGAGAGAGCAGGCAAAATTCCAACGTACCTTCGTACAGCGAGACCTCCAATCAGCTTGTAGCGAAGTGACTCCGCCTGCGCGATGGCGCACAAGCCGCGCGTGGCCACTTTCTCGGCGTACAGCTCAACATTCTGCTCCTTGAAGTTGAAACGCTTCTGTACCACGGACGTCAGTTCCCTGATCCTGCGTCCCTTCTCGCCGAGCACGCTCTGCGTGTGCGTGGCCAGTAAGATGATCTCCGTCCGATTTGGAGTCACGCGGACCTCCACGCCCGAATACCCATCCTCGGCGAGCTCACGAGTCAAGAACTCGTTCAGCTCGGCTCTGAAGACACCATCGCCTACAAACTGAAAGCGAAAGGAGTGGTGTAACACGCATTCTGTTGTATCAAACGCAACTGTCCACTTGACTTATTCGTACAATATTGTTTGTTGTGTATATAAATATTTATGGTAAATATATATGTAAAAACTGCTTCAATGCTAAGATTTGTACTGGGGAGACTCGCGCAAATTAACGCTTATTAGGTGCACAGCAGCAAAGTTTACTTCTTTGTAGGTTATTCGATTCAACGAGATGAATATAATTAGGCGAGCGATTAAACGTGAAATACCGGGACGTTATAGAAAACAAACTGAACCACTGCACCAAGTCCCACTTGATAGAAGTATGTGCATTTCAAAGAATTTTAGAGAGAGAACACGTAGAACTGCAAGATCCACGCGAGAACGACGCCGGGATCCATGTCATCCGCGAATCACGGTCATCGCATTCGTCTGATTTTCGACAAAATATCGCCCCGAAAGCTTCCAACGTTGTGCCAACGAGAATATTTTTTGCGTATCGCTCATGATAAACCTCTGGGGATCGCTAACCTTCCTTTTCTTAGATATCGAACGGTTCTCCATCACTGCCTCATGTTTTAGCGAAGCCAACGAAAGAATCCAAGAGGGCAAAGAGACCTGTCTAGGGGAGAGGAGCGCGAAAGTCAACGCAAGCGCATGCGCCACGTGACACGTGACCATAGACGTAATACATATATCTAGATTCTAGACCGAGCATTGAGCAGTGGAGGGGTAGAGGCACGTAGAAAAAAACTGTGTTTTGTGCTATTTCGTTCGTGGCAATTAATAATTAAGGAAACGACAAATAAGGAATTGTCGTTCCTTCATAAATTTTAACAACGATATCGCAGAAGAAACGCGATTTCGCGTATCGCTTGATCTTTAAATATTGCTAATTGAGTAAACCCTAGTAGCACAATTTAATATATTGGCGCAATATTGGGAAACAATGTGAATCTAGTATTCCCAATATTGGACCAATATTGTAAGACGGACGCCTCCTTTTATTTAGCCAATATGTCTATTTAGCAATAACGGTTTAATATTGTATCAATATCAGACCAATATTCTTATTACATTGTTAAATATCGGTCAATGTATTATAATAAAAGTCTTCCTTCTTGTCGCCAGCGAAATTCAAAACATGAGATAAAACTAATTTGATGTACGTCAACCAAACTGGCAATACCATATATTTATAGAGTCGAAATGGAGCCGAAACGTTGTAAATAAACGAATAAATATATTGCCAGTTTGGTTGACGTACATCAAATCAATGTATTATACTTCCAATATAAATTTAATGTTACATAATTATTATCGTGCGATATTTGCATTTATTCCATATTCCAGACAATATCGGCCAGTGCATTTCTAATATAACCAACATTGGACCGATGTTTAGCGAATGTTAGACAATGCGACTGTGCTACTGGGGAACAATATGAATACTAAATTATAATTAAATATTAGCGAGAAATACATACATTAATACATTCATTGAGACACAAGAAAGATCATAGAAATTGTTACCAATACACTAAGTTTCTTCCTTTCGATCTCTTGTTTCTTTATTGCAAGTGGTTTTCAAACGCACCGTTTTCGCGCGCTTTTCGCGCCGCCGCGGCCGTTGTGCGCGCGAGAAGACGTTCCGCACTATCGCTCGAGTCGCCGGCACGTACAAACGGGACGACGTGCGCGATCATTTTCCGCGTAATTAATCGACGCCCACGGCCACGCGATCGAGCTCTTCGATTCCGCCAGTACCGCGGGACGTCGTCTTCGTCTGTCTCGGAGAACACATTTCACTCGAGACGTGGAAAGTGGACCGGCGAATCGTCGTTCGTGCTCGCCACACTTTCGACGACGTAAAGCGAAGAATAGCGAGCCGCGAGGGTGTCGATTGCTCGTCAATATGCATATTTTCCGCGTGGATTTGCGCGCTTGTTCGCGTGAACGGTACCAACGTGATTTTCAAACGCGCCGTTGACTCGCGTAGTTCGCGCCGCCGTGGCCGCAGTGCGCCGAGGGTGGGGAGACGTGTGCCGCACAGTCGGTCGAGCCGCCGGCACGTACGCCACGGAACGATGTGCGCGATCGTTCCCCGCGTTCCCCGCGTAGTTGAGTGACTCCACGGCCACGCGTTCGATTCCGCGAGTACTTCGAGACGTCGTCTTCATCTTTCTCGGGGAATCTACCTCACTCGGGACACGGAAAGTGGACCGGCGAATCGTCGTTCGTGCTCGCCACACTTTCGACGACGTAAAGCGAAGAATAGCGAGCCGCGAGGGTGTCGATTGCTCGTCAATATGCATA